TGTCATGGAGGTGCTCAAGAAGCATCACAAGCCCCACTGGAATGATGGGTGAGCAGGGTGCCATGGGGGCTAGGAGTGTGGCCACAGGTCACGGGGTGGGGGCTGTGGGCCCAGCAGTGACTGTGTGCTCCTCCATGCACCCAGGGCCATCCTAGGTTTCGTCAACAAGCAACAGGCCCACGACCTGCTCATCAACAAGCCCGATGGCACCTTCTTGTTGCGCTTTAGCGACTCAGAAATCGGGGGCATCACCATTGCCTGGAAGTTCGACTCGCGTGAGTGCTGCTCTGCCCCCAGCCCTCCCTCCGTCCCTTCCCCCTTCCGTTTCCCTGTGCCCGTAGAACAGGGCTGGGAACTTCTTCACTGCCAGGGGCCAACTGGGTATTTATAACATCAGGGGAGGGCCAGACTGATCAAGCATTTGATTAACTCACCCCTGATGTGATGGCTGAAACAGCATCTCTTTGGGGAGGCGTGTGATGATGACTTTGTGGGCCTGGTGGCACGGTGCTTATGAGTTGGGCTATGATCTGCAAGGTCAGCAGTTTGAAGCCGCCAGTCTTCAGCAGAAAAGGCGGGACTTTCTCATCCCATTAAGAGTCAGTCTCGACTCACTCACTCACTCACTCACTCACTCTCTCATTCACTCTCACACTTACTCTCTCATTCACTCATTCACTCTCATTCACTGACTCACTCACTCTCTAATTCACTCATTCTCACTCTCTCACTCACTGACTCACTCTCTAATTCACTCACTCTTATTCACTCACTCACTCACTCTCTCACTCACACTTACTCTCTCACTCACTCACACTCACTCACTCTCACTCACTCACTCACTCACTCTCTCTCACTCACTCTCTCACTCACTCACTCACTCACTCACTCTCTCACTTACTCTATCATACACTCACTCTCTCATTCACTCTCACTTACTCTCTCATTCACTCACTCACTCTCTCGCTCTCACTCACTTACTCTATCACACACTCACTCTCTCATTCACTCTCACACTTAAACTCTCTCATTCACTCATTCACTCTCTCACTCACTCTCTCACACACAAAAAATAAATTAATAAAAATAAAATTAAATTTTAAAAAAGAGTCAGTCTCAGGAACTCACGGGGGTAGTTCTACTCTGCCCTGCAGGGGTACAGGGTCACTGTGAGTCACCATCCACTCGATGGCCGTGAGATAAGGCCCATGGGCCAGGCTTCCCCCAGCCCTGCCTGCCTGCTGGGAAGGTGGGATGAAGCTCTGTGCGGGAGGAGGTTACACAGCGACACATTCCCCTTTCACTCCCACTTGGGACAAGCTGAAACCACTAGTCCCCCCCCCTCCAGCTGCTGTCTGGGTCCTTGGGCAGTTTCAGGACTGCTCCTTTCCTCCGTGACCCGGCCCTGCTGGCATCTGCCTGGCTGGTGAGATGTTCCTGCTGCCCCCCGCCTTGCCCTAGGCTGCGGACCACCCGGGCCGGGCTTCCCTGAAAGCCCCTCCTCTCCGGGCTACGGCCTGATGGGTGGTCTTTTCCACAGCGGACCGCAACCTGTGGAACCTGAAGCCGTTCACCACCCGGGACTTCTCCATCCGCTCGCTGGCTGACCGCCTGGGGGACCTGAACTATCTCAACTACGTGTTCCCTGACCGGCCCAAGGATGAGGTCTTCTCAAAGTACTACACTCCAGTGCTCGGTGCGCCTGAGCCCCAAGACGCCCCAGCCCCCCCCCCATTCCCTGCCCACAGAGCCCCCCAGGTGCTGCTACCCCTGTGAGCTTGCTCCCTGGGGCGGTGGAACGTGAAGGCAGAGGCTCTGGGCCTGTAGGAGAGGGAAAGGGAATCCCCGGCCCTGCTTGCTTCTCTGAGGGTTCTCCCACCTGTGACTGGCAGTGGCATGGGGCCCCTCAGATTCAGAGAATGTGCCCATTTTAGTCAGCTGCTCTGACCACTGGGCTCCTCAGCCTTCCCCTAGGACTGTGCGTGGAGGAAGCAGAGGGCTGGTTTGCTTCTCTGCAGTCTGGCCCCAGCTGTGGGTGGGCTTGCTGCTGTTGCCTTCCTTGGCACTGGTCGGGGCTTGCAGAGAGGACACCTGTGGCCGGGACAGGAGGCCTGAGACTGGTTGGGACTGAAGCCAAGGGTCTTGGTGACCCTCAGCCTGGGTCCATCAGCGAGTATGAATTGGGATCCTTGGGAAGTCTCATCCCTGCGGAGGTCCCAGTCAATATGAGTGGGGGGAAGCTGCTGGGGTGGGTGGGGTGGTCCCAGTGTCTCTGCTCACCACTGCTCTCCCCTTGGCAGCCAAAGCCGGTGACGGATACGTGAAGCCACTGATCAAGCAGGTGGTCCCTGAGTAAGTGTCCAGGTCCCCACTGGGCCTCCTGCGGCCTCCCCCACCGCACACCACTGCCCCTCCCGCCCACAGCCCTGTGCTCCCAGGACACCCAGCCCAGCCCTGGGGAGGGAACGGGCTCCTCCGGGATGTGACTGGGACCCAAGGCCGAGTGGGGCACTGTGTCCTGCACTCCGAGCCCCTCCCGTCAGCTCCTCCCAGCTCATGCCCCCCACCGAGGCTGCTCCACTTGCTCCTGCAGGTTTGTGAATGCATCTGCAGACTCCGCTGGGGGCAGCGCCACCTACATGGACCAGGCCCCGTCCCCAGCCGTGTGCCCCCAGGCCCACTACAACCTGTACCCACAGAAGTAGGTGTTGTGCCGGAGGGGGGGCGGGATTGAGGGGTGTGTGGAGTCTGCAGGGGAGGACAGGGGACTTAACCTCGACCTAGACCCAGGACCGCGGGTGGGCAAAGCCGAGTGGAGTCCCTAGAGGTCCCAGACCACAGCCTCGGCCTGGGCTGGGCTCCTCATGTTTCTCGGAGCATTGCTAGTGAAGCTTGCGAGAGGAGCTTCCGAGCGTTGGCGCTAGTGGCTCTGGTGCTGACTGGCTATGAGACCCTGGGGAAATGATCAAGATTCTCCGATGCATAGTTTCCTCACCTGTGCAAGCAAGGCAAGACCCGGGCTGAGGGGTTCTGGGAGGATTAAGGGAGAGGGCAGGTAAGTGCTAAGCAAGAGTGAGGGCCCGAGGACTTGACACATTGTAGCTGTTGGCAGGATTGCTGCAAAAGGCTAACTCCACAGGCACGGGACGGGCGCACGGGCTGCGGACTGGAAGGCTTTGTAGTCTACTGCCGAACTGGCCTCCCTTGAAAACCCAGGGAGCATGCTCTGGCCCTGACAGCCGAGGTGCCCGGAGTGGAGTTTTCTTGGCAGCAGCTGGTTTGGTGGTTGTGGGAGTGGGGTGGGCCCAGCGTATCAGATGCCCCTCTTTGGAGTGGACTGTGAGGCTGCTGGGTGACCACAGGCCTGGGGGTCACAGGCTGGGCTTCCAACCGGGACAGCACAGTTGGGCGGTTCCAAGCACCCTGCCTCCCACAGTGGAGCTGAGCGTCTGGCCTCTGTGAAATGGGCTTAAGAGCCTCCCGGCGGCTGCCCTGCCGAGGGCAGAGACCTGTGATTGGGAGAGGAGTGGTTGTAGCTGCCCGCTGACCGTGGTGGTCACTGTGGAGTCGATGGCTTGTCGCTGCCCTGTGTTGTGCGTGCAGAGTAGGCCTGGCAGGGTTTTCAAGGCTGGGACCTCCAGGTCACCAGGCTGGTCTGCCTGGGTCCCTCCAGGTGGTCAGACCACCAAGCCTGCAGCTAGTAGTCCGGCTTGGACCGGTTCAAGCTGTCCTGGAGCTCTGATCAAACCGGCCACACCCAGTGACCGGAGCTCACTGGCCCAACCACCTGGAGAAGACCGCGACGGGAGCGGATTCCCTGGTCACTCGGTGCAGGGGCAGGTCCAGACTAGAACTGAGGGACTTCTATCGAGCCAGTGACTGCTACCCAGCTTTGGGGGGGGGCGGGGTAGAGGGGGACTGGGCAGCTATCTGGCCAGACCAGCTCAAATGGGGAGTAGGCTTGGGGCCGGGAGGCTCCCTCTGACAGCCCCTCCTCTCTGCCAGCCCCGACCCGGTCCTGGACCAGGACGGAGAGATAGACCTGGACGAGACCATGGATGTTGCGAGGCACGTGGAAGAGCTCTTACGCCGACCAATGGACAGTCTGGGGCCGCCCCTGACCCCCCAGGATGGCTTCTTCACCGCCACCAGGGGCTCCCTCTCCTGAGTGTCCACACCCCGCACTTCACTTGTCTTCGGAACCAGCATTGGAGGGAAGGGTCTCCGTTGTGACCACAGCCTCTCTGTGCCCGCGGCGTGCGGGCCTGTATCTCCTTCCTGTGCCCGCAGCGTGCCTGCCTCTCCTTCACAACCTTGCCCTTCTGTCTTCAGCTCAAGGCATCGGGGAGCCCGCTGGGGTCATCCCTGCCATGGACCACGCCGGAGTTTTCTTTTCGGCAGGTCCTCCATGCGGCAAACTGATTCCTCCCAGGCCCTTGTCCCAGCAGTGTGTCCAAGGGGGAGGCTGGGCACGTCTTCAAACTGAAGTGTTCCTCATGGAAGCTGCTTTGCCGCCCCGCTGTGTTTGTGTGTGCGTGTCAGCTGTGTGTGCTTCCTGTGTGTGTACATGGCGCACACATCCGCCCATTCGCATGCCCTTGTGCCGGTCTGTGTCCCCTCCCTCAGGAGGGAGGCTGGGGCTCGCCTGGGGGCCTCTTCTCAATGCATGATTGTGGACTCGACTGTTTTACCAAACCCTCTGAGGGTGTGTCTCAGCCAGGTCAGCCGCCTTCGCATTGACTCCGACTCCCGACGGCCTTAAGTACAACAGAAGCAAACTCCGCCCAATCGCCTGAACGGGCAAGCCCATCACTGGCGCCCGTCCAGCTCACCGAGGGTCCTGCCCTCCTTGGCTCCGTGTGCCACATAGGATCTACTCCTCCCTCCCTCCAGAGTTGTCCGAGTGCCTGCACCACAGACAAAGCCAGTTCTGGCCCCTGGAGATGCCAGGCTGGCCAGCAGGACCGTCCTCTTAGCTTTTCAGTAGCTGATGGTTAGGGAGTAGGTCACCCACCAGGTCTTTCTACCCCTGAGGCCCCTGGGGAGACTTGCACCCATCAGCCTTTCATTTAATAGCTGGTTGCGTTAACCCTTGCACCACTCAGGGCCTCTACAGCCCAATGGATCTGGGTTGTGTTTTGGCCACGGCCTCTTGGCCATGGAGACTGGGTCTTGGGTCTTGAACCTGGGATGCCATTGCTCCCATTCCTGCTGTCTCCATTCCGCCCCAGCCTTGCTCCCTGGAGACAACCTCGATTTCAAGAGGTGGGGCAGAGGCCAGGACGGGTCTAGAACATGGCAGGTGAGGCCGAGTGGACCCCCTTCCCCTGGAGGAAAAGCTCGGGAGCCCCGGTGGTTATGTGCTGAGCTGACAGCCACAGTGCTGGTGAATGACGCCCACCAGCAGCTCTGCTGTGTCCATCTACCTCCACTGAGGTCCACGGCCTTGGGAACCCCCGTGGGGGAGGTTCCACCCTGCCCTTGCGGGTGGACTAGAGGGTATTGGGCTTTGGGGGAAACTGCAGCTAGAGCCCAGCAGGGGGTCAGCCATGAGTGTGCCTTTGGAACCTGGAGAGCGGGCTTGGCTCGGCTCCCTGCAGGGAGGGGGCTCTGGCCTAGGCCTGGGCAGCCTAGATCAGTGTAACTGATCTGAGGTGGCCTTGCCTGAACTGCACGCTGCTCCCTCTGATGGGCCATGACAACCAGGGGCAGCCGAGCGTCCCCAGTGTAGACGTCACTCGCTGAGCTTGGGAGGACAGTGGGTGGCTGCCCCCAGTGTTGACACCACAGGGTGTAGACACTGCTCGCTAAGCTCTGGAGCAATTCTTTCGTACTCTGTACATAGACCGCACATCAGTGTCAATGGACACTTTTTGAATAAATTTTCTTTTTCGTACGTTGGCTGGTATGGTCCCTGGGCTGGGGAGCTGGCAGTGGGCCCCTGGGGAGGTAGGGACGTTTCCTTTTCCTCCTGTGTGGCTCTGGTGTAAGGGTTCTGGTCACCCCTGGAATACTGTCCACTCCTTCTGGAAGACTGGCAACCCGGGCTAGGGGCTGGATATCCACACGTATCCTTGGAAAAGAGGGGCAGGGATTAGAGGGAGGGGAGTCTGCAGGGAGGAAGGCGGCCCCTTGGAGCAGCTGTGCCGGCCAGGAGGGAGTCTACAGCTGGCAGCTGAGGGCCAGGACCAAGCGGATGCAGGCCCTCCCCAGGCCGGGGGCTGCAAGTCCCACCCTCCCAGCTCTTCCCGGAGACAGGCAGGGGCTGCCCGCTGGGCGCCCAGCCGCAGCCACACGAGGTTCCTTTGGAGCTGAAAGCGGAGGGGCGGGGGGCGGGGGGCGCTCGCTGGGCCCCACGGGGGCGGCCGCCGCGCGCAGGGTGCGCGCACTAATCTGCTCATCTCGGGAAGGCGCCTATCGCTCGCGCTCCGTCTCCATGGTGCTCAGCCGAGGGGCGGGAGCGCAACACTCCGAATTATCGCCGGGCTGCTCGCGGCGGGCGCCTGCGCCCCAGCCAGTGTTTACACGGGCTGCCCGCCCCGACTTGGTGATAATGCAGCCAACCGCGGAGGGGGGCTTATCTGACCCCAAACAGAACAGAGCAGTTTGCAAAGGCCCCTCAGAGGGAGGCCTTGGCTCCCACCTTTCTGCCCTTGGAGTGAGACCCCAAGCTCCACCCCCACCCCTTCTCCGGTGCCCCTTCCTTTCCTGTAAGACACCCACACCCCCGTGCCCTGTCCTTCCCCCTAAGACCCCAGCTCTCCACCACATCCTACCCCCCCTCACCCCAAGTCAGGTGCCCCTGCCTGCCCTAGAATATCCCAGGCTTCACCCGCCCCCCACCAGTCAGGTGCCCCTTCCTGCCGAGGCTGGCGGCTCACACGAGGGGCTTCAGTGGCCAGAGCTGGGCCACATCCACCCAGGGAGGCAGCACCTTAGCCCGAGCTCTCTGGGCCCCAGCTTAGACCCTTCCACCCCTGCCCACCCCCTCCCCCAGCCACCAGGCAGCGTGGCCAGGCTCACTGGATCGTTCCTATATAATGTTTATTTCTGGAAGTTAAAGTAGATACAGCAATATACAAAAAAAATAACAATATAAATTTTTACAGTATGAAGTATACACTGGAATTTGAATGCGTGGCCAGGGCAGCAGCTGAAAAGCCACTGAACAGAGGTTAAGCGAGCTGAGCCCAGGGAACCCCCTTGGTTGGGCTGGAGCTGGGTGGGGGTGGGGGCGGGGGCAGTGGGGAGAAAGCAGGCAGGTCCTGGGGGGCTCTGTTCTCAAGGACGAGGCCAGAACAGGCCTTGGCCCCTGGCCCCCCTCAGAACGTTTGCTACGATCAGTTAAAAACAGATACACATGCTACCTAAAATTGAGAACTTTGCAGTATCTGCCCCAGAAGTCCCCACCCTTGCCCACGGTCCCCGTGATTGAAAGCCGACGGTGAAGGTGAAGCAAGGCCCAGTTCGCCCCTTTCGAGGGCCTCTCTCGTGCACGAGGTCAGCTTAGGACAAGCTGGACTCGGCCAGGAGGGTCAAGAACTGCCCCGTGCTCCTCCCCCACCCTTAATTCACAAAGGGGCTCATCTGAGCACAAGGTGAGCGCCAGAGCTGCCCTGGCCACCTGAGACCAGGCGGCTCTGGGTTGAGGAGCACAGACACCCAGAGATTACCCAGAACAGGACCGAGGGTTCTGGAAGGCCCAGGTGGTGGCAGGCTGGCACAGGAGGCCACAGAGGCCCCGTCTGGGCTGGCCATGGGCCGAACACAGGGGCCCCAGAGGGGAGGTGATAAATTCCCAGCAGGTGGGGGGCCCCAAGTTTACTCCCTCACACAGGGGGCAGCCCTCAGGGTTCTCAGTAAACCTTTAGCCCTGGGTTCACCAGGTGAGCTTACAGATACCCTCAGGTAGGCATCAACAAGAAGCTAGGCCAGCCACCAGATTCCCTGAGCTCAAGTGGAGGCTTCGCTAAGGGCCCTGGGGCCCGGGTCCTGCTCAACGTGCAGCGCTCCTCGTCCCAAGGCCGGGCTTCCGAAAGCACACAGGAAGAGGGCCCTTTAGACCAGGGAGGTCCACAGGCCACTGGGGGGCAGGAGGGCTAGGGAAGGGAAGAGGGCTCCCCCAGCCCTGGTATGCATGTTCCCCACCGCATGAACGGCCCAGGCTCTGGGGCAGGGGCTGAGTCTGGGGAGAAAGAAAGGGAGGGTGGTTTTAAGGGCTCCTCTGCCCATCCTTACCCATTTCATAGGCCAACACGTGAAAGGGCAAAATAACAATTTTGTTTATATATATTAAAAAAAAAGTCCTGATCCTTTCCTGTTTCAGAAACAAAAGGCTAAGCCACAGCTTCAGACATCTTTTAAAGGTTGGATCTGAAGCCCATTTGAAGGTTTTTATAACACCGCCTTGAAGAAAGCGCGGTGCTAAAGCTCTGGGGAGGCTGTACACGGGCAGTCTTAAATACAGAAAAGGCTAGGCCTCCTGAAGGGGCTTTCAGTTCCCTTTTGCCCCTTAAGTTTTGTGGTTGATTTGTTTTTTCTTCTTTCCTTGATTTAAAAAGAAATCAAGGAGCTTTTTGAGAGTCTCTTGGGATGTTAGCAGGGTTCAAAGTGCAAAGCCAGGAGTCTGCAGCGCGAGAACGCTGAGCCTTTGACGTGAGCTTACAGAGACGGGTGGAGGGCGGCCACCGGCACCAACCTCAGGCACTTGTCCAACACAAAACAACACAACAGTGAGAAGCTGCTGGGAAAGGAGGGCGGGGGAGACCCTCCAAAAATACAAGACATCTTTTTCTTTTTCTTCCTCTTGCCGCCCCCCCCACCCTCTTCTTATCCCCTGATCACAGTCTCAGCAGACACGGCTCTCCCTCGCCCGGCAGATAAAAACACATCGCCTACATTCCTTCCTCGAATTAAAAAAGTGCCCAGATTGCTCAAGATAGCAAAGGTAGGAGACTGAAAACAAACAAAACACAACACAACAAATCCGGAACCACCATGTCAGGAGTTTCCGGAGGGGCCCGGCTGTGTCTGGCGGCGGGCACGGAGAGGGGCCGCCACTACAGCTCTCGGCAGCTTCTGCTCTCCACGCCTCACATCGGGGAGGTCGCGCACTCCGGGTTCAAGTCCATGTCAAAGGTGAGGGACTCTGGAGAGACACACACAGGAGAGCCAGTTCAGCCACCTGACCACAGCTGGCAGGGCGCCCGCCCCAGCCCCTCAGGTGTTGCAGACTCCTGCCACTCCAGTCCCCAAAAGGCTAAGAAAGGTTGGACAATCCAGGCTCACTGTCCTGGCCAGAGACCTGCCCCATGTTTTATCACTTGTAGTAAGTCATTAGCAAGGGGGCTGGGATCAGTTCGTGGGAAAACCAGGAGACTGGATTTCCCTCCCCACGCACACTTTCTGGAAGCCCCTTCATGGGTCAGCAACGACCACAGGCCACTTCGACCACACGGGCATTTCGGTGACATAGCGGTGTCTGCCACGCTGGGCCCTGCTCCACAGCTGCTCCTACTCCCGCCACCGGCCCCTGGCTCCGAGCCCGGGAAGGCCGAGGCGAAACACCAGACCTTCGTGAAAAGGGCGCCACCTGGCTCTGGGCCGTGCTCGTTAGAAATGGGACTAGGAACGGCGTTTACAAAGACGCCTGGCACATGCTCCTTTTCTACTGGGCAGCCTCCTTCGCCCGATCGTGTGCCGTCCCTCACTGGACCAGACACTCACCGAACTGCCCTCCTGCTGAGGGCTCAGCGCCTTCACCATTATTTCCAAACTGCATCAATGAATCTAAAGTGCGGGGGGACATCGGCAGGTCAATGGTATTGCTGCAGGTCGTTCTGTAGGAAATGGGGAGCAGCCCGAGGGAGAGGCCGGGTTGACAAGACACAGTGGAGGGGGGGGAAAAAACAACACACACACACAAGCCATCAAACTCTGGTCTCCAACAGAAAAAATTAAAGCTCAAGCTTTTAAAAACACACAAGGACCCTCTGAGGAGCAAACAGCCCGGGGGCTGCCAACTCTTCACAGGGCCCCTCTCGCCCAGTACTCTGCCCCAGGGGTCACTGAGCACCTTAGAAATGAGGCAAACTTGGGAAGGGAAGCCACTTACGGTGTCACACAGATGAACTTGGTCTTCAGGTACGGGGCAGCACCTGAGAGGGAGCGAGAAACAACATGAGCTTACTGGCTGAAACAGGCAGGCCAAGGATGAGGAAGCCGGCCACCTGACCAGGGCTCCCTTAAACTCACTAGTCCTGAAGAGGAGGGCCGAGAACCACCACCTCCCCTCCAGGGATGCCCTGCCCTCCCGGTAAACTCCTGAGGTACTGGTAGCTTTGAAATTCCACTTCTTCCCATAGGAGGCTTCCCCGACCCAAGAGGCCTGCCAGCATGCCCTCACCCCCCACGAGCCACCTCAAAGCAGGCCACCCTGATGTGAGTGCTCTTCCAGAGCAGGCACTGCCTCCGACCTGCCTGTCCTGGTCTGTCTGCTTTGGCCTGCTTATGTCTCCTCGATAATTTCTCTGCAGGCAGGAACCAGGTGTGGGGCCCATCTAGGCACCAGCATCTTCGAGTCTCTGAGAGTGGGGGCGGGGGGGGGGCAGCTAACCCTGAACTGGGGGTCACCCCGTGCTAAGAGCTGCACCATCTGCCCCTCTCGGCGACAGTCCACGTCTACAGTTGGCGGAGCTGGTATGGGTACGTTCCTTCTTGGATAAAAACATCAGCCAAGAAACGGGCTCCACCTACTAGCAAGATTTCTTAATGGTGCGGGACGATTCATTCTGGACGGCGTGATTATAGACTTGGGCCCAAGTCATGTCTTCAGTAGCTAAGAAACCCTGGGCAAGGCACCTTCTCCAGGATAAAATCAAAGGGCAGGAAGGAGGGAGCTGCCTGTGGTCTCTGTCCCCGGCCTTTGCCATTCTGCTCCCAGGTGGAAATGTGAGGGTGGGAGCACGTGGTTTTGGGATGTCAGGGAGCCTAGCGGCCCCTAGCATAGACTCTAGGAATTCTGTTGAGGAATGGTGAGGTGGGTGGGCGGGGAGTAGTAGAGGCCGTGCTAAGTCTGGGTAGACGGAGAAATGGAGGCATCAGAGGGCATGAAGTGGATCTCAGACACTGAATTGTAAAAGGGTCTTTAGACTCCAGTTGGGGCAACTCTTGGCTGAGAAACTAACTAAATTCAGGGCTGAATTCACAGGAGTTACCGTGGCTGGTCAGGTGACCTACAAACTCAGCCTTCTTAGCCCAGACTTCAGGGAAGCAGACACCCCAGACAGAAAACCATCTACTTCCCCATTGATAAGGGCGGCCGAGAAGGAACAGAAGGGCAGAGGCGAGCCCGGCCTCCACACCAGTGTGTGTTTAATGCCAGCCAGGTGCTGGGACTTAGCTACCCTGCAAGTGCCCCTCCTCTCTCCACGGGCAGCACGGACTGCGCTTCTGGGGAGAAGTGGGGAGAAGGGGGCTGTGAATCCCAGGAAGAGGACCCATGTCTGAGAGAGGCTCTTGTGCACCATTCTCTCACGATGGAGCAGTGAAGTCTCAGACCCTACTCCGAGGGCCCATCTTAACGTAGTCTCCAACCTACCCCATGCCAGCACATACCTCCTGGCCCCAGGACTGACTGGAGGGGCCCTAGTGGTGAATGGGGTGGTTACGCACTGGGCTGCTAACTGCAAGATCAGGAGTTCGAAATCACAAGCTGCCCCAAGGGAGAAAAACGAGGCTATCTAGACCCATGAAGAGTGAGCGTCTCGGAAACCCACAAGGAGGCTGTCCTCCTCTGTCTGCACCATCGGTCGGTCGCTATGGGCTGGAATTGACTGGGTGGCCGTGAGTTCGGGTTTTGGTGCTTGGACCCCATCACCATGCCTCTCAGCAGACACTCCTTCCATCCTGTACAATAGAGTCATCACAGACTCCCTGGAGGAGCGAAAGGTACTGTATGAATCGCCTAAGAGGTTTGTATTCCACCTGATGGGAAAGGCCTTCTTAGGGAGAGTTGATGGGCCACGAGTCGCCGCCCAGAGGAAAGGCGGCTGCCTGGGGCAGGAGGGGACAGAGAGCCCCAGCACAGCGGGACGGGAAGGTGCTGGTGGCGGTGATGGAGGAGGCAGGCTCCAGTTGGGAGCTGGGACCCTCAAAGCCACACTAGTCAAAGACGCAGCACGGACTCAAGGCCCTGTGCAGAAGGAACAGGGGTTGTGTGGCGGGGGCTGATAAACAGATCTCCCAACTGAAGCGCAGCGTGGGGCGAGAGATAAGTTGCAGACAGGAAGTGAGAGTCAAACTTTATGCATTATGAACCAGACGCAGAGCCAGAGCCAAGGGGCAAAGGGAAGCCTATCGCCAACCAGCTCTCCAGCCCCACTGTCCCCACCTGGAGAAAGCCCTCAGCCAGGGTTCCTCTGACGAAGTGCAGGGGTTTGTGTGGTGTGTATGTGTGTGTGTGTGTGTGTGAATGTGTGTGGGTAGGGGGGGAGTGTGTGAGAGTATGTGTGAATGTGTGTGGGTGTTATTGGTACAAAGGCAGTTTACAAACAGTTTACAGCAAAACCGGGGGCGGGGCAGGAGGGATCAGCTTAGCAGGCTCTCCACGAATGAATGACAGCACAGAGGGGCAAGATGCCATCAGACCCCTCCCTCGGGATCTGGGCAGAAAGCCCTGAGTTAAAGCAACAAACACTGAGGGCGGACAGGTGTGGGGGGTGGAGGGGAGGGGGCTCTGGGGACATCGCACAAAGGACAGTTTTGACGCGGGAGTGCTTCGTTATCGTCCATACCAACTCGGATGCCCTTGTGCATTGCAACAATGTGCTGCTGATTCTCAAGACCCCTGGCAGGCCCTCCTCCAGGTCCTGCCTTCCCCTTCAAAGGAGCCCCCCACCCCCGCGGCTGCTCACGACTTCCTCCCCGCTGGCTCCTCCAACCCGCCTGACAGGCGGCTCACACTGTCTACTGCCGGAGAGGAGGAAGCTTGCCAGACTGAGGTTGTGTCTCAGGCCTTCCAGCATCTGCTGTGGGGCTACAGGGCTCTGCCCCCTCTACAGGTCTTTCTCAATGTGCCCGAGCATTTGTTCCCGCCTGGCTCTGCGTGGCTTCCCTGGGTCAAGGGCTGGTAATGTGGAGCCCTCTTCCTCATCGGGTCCCTTCAGCTGGCTCCCAAGAACACCCACTGCCACATTCCCTGGGGCAGGATGACTGAGATCGCGCCCAGGCTGTCCGCCATTCATCTGTCTCTTCCCAGCACGGGCCACTTCCTACCTGCCCTCGGCTGCCATGCCTACAATGTGGAAAATCAACAACTACCTGGGTCAGCTTCTGGGTGCTCCTGGCTCTCAGGCCGACAGTACTTTCCAAACGCCTCCTCCTTAGGAATGTCAGGGTAGAGATAGACGAGTGGCGACACCAGGATGTTGGTGGCATCCATGATCTTATAGCCCATGATGATTTCGGCAAATGACATGTTGTTCAGCTGCTGCTTGGTGTACGGTTCCACGGACTGAATCTGCGTCTTACCTGCCAGGGGCGAGGGGAGGGGGAGAGAGATCGTGGCACCTGTGGTTGAGTGATCTTGGAGAAAACCTCTCCTGGTTTATCCGTCCTCCAGGGAGAACGACTTAGTCATTCCGTAGCCCAAGACCCTGAGGACCGGGCCCAGGCCTGGCCCTGGGAGGCTGTGCAGGCTGGCTCTCGGTGAGACAACCCAACTGATTCACCGGTAATAAACTTGAAGAGCTACTTGCAGGAGTTATAGTCGGAGGGGACAGAAGGAAAGGGATGAAGGAGAACATTTAGATAGGATATGACTAGGTAACTCAACCACTCAAGCAAACTCTTCAGCTGGAAGACATTCAGAGAGAAGGAAGTCTGCCACCTGCATTCCCAGAGGACCTCAAGAACAGGTCTGATGCACTGACCACTAAGGACAGAAGACCTGATGAGTGGTGGGGTGATGTTCACACCACGACTCATGAAGGGAGCAGACGGCCATTAAAAAGACGACAGGAAAGGAACTCTGAAACCCGATCCTGACGGTAGAGCAGCTCAGACAAGAAAAGAAATGATGGCGTCTAAGGGCTGGTCAGAACATCTCAAGGGCGGTTTGACAAGCCAAAGTAAAATAATATTATCACGAAACGGGCCACGACCTAGTGTTGGAAAGCCAAGAGAAGAACGTGCAGCGTGTGGTTCTTAAACTGCGAGGGCTCGAGAAGACACTGACGCCCCGGGAGATGTCAGGCCGAAAGATTCTATGTGCACAATACTGACATATGCCGAAGCATCAAAAGGCAATGGAAATACAGAGTCACCATACGAAAAGGACTCGTCCACATTCAACCATTCCTGGAGGCCGCATATGATCAAAGCCGAAGGAAGAAGTCCAAGCTGCACTGAAGGCTTAGCCAAGTCAAGGCCCCAGGGACGGAGGGAATACCAATGGAAGAGTTTCACCATGCTGATGAAGCACGGGACATACTCTCTCATCTATGCCAGGAGACTTGGAAGATCAGCTACTTAGCCAACTGGCTGGAAGGGAACCGTGTGTGTACCGTTTTCGGAGAAAGGTGACCCAGCAGAGTGCACACATCACAGAACGGTGTCACAGTTATCGCCTGCAAGTAAACTGTTGCCGAAGATCATCCACCAACGGTTGCAGCAGTGCACTGACGGGGAGCTAACAGAGATTCAGGCTGGATGCAAGAGGATGTGGAACAAGGGAGACCATTGCTGATGTCGGATGGATCTTGGCTGAAAAGTAGAAAAGGCCAGAAAGATGTTTACGTGTGTGTTTTAACGATGCCATGTAGGTCCATGTTTTTATTTCTTTTTCTTGTTTTACTTGTGTTTCTGTGGACAGTGTGGATAGCTGGAAGAACAGCAATCACGGGACACTATACAAGGATCAAGAGGCAGCTGTGTGAGCAGAACAAGGGACACTGCACGATTTGCAATCAGGAAAGGTGTGTGTCAGGGTTGTATCCTCTCCCCACACTTAACAGAATTTGTAGGCTGAGCAAATACTCCAAGAAGCTGGAGATGCCGACGACACAACCCTGCTTGCCCACAGTGAGGACTTGAAGCCCCTGCTGATGACGGTCAGGATTGCAGCCAAGATAAAGAAGACCCAGATCCTCACAGCTGGACCCATAGTCGACACTCTGGTAAATGAAGGAGAGACTGAAGTTGTCAAGGATCTCATCTTGCTTGGATTCACAACGGAAGCAGCACTCAAGCGATGCTTTGCACTGGGCAAAACTGTTGCACAAGACCTCTCTCTGAAGTGTTGAAACGCAAGGGTGTTACTTTGAGGAAGAAGGTGAGCCTGCCCAAGCCATGATACTCTCAGTGGCCTCAGGTGCATGTGACAGTTGGATATTCAATAAGGAAGGCAGAAGGGAAATCAATGCACTTGAACTGTGGGGCTGGTGAGGACTACTGAGAGCACCGTGGACTGCCAAAGACCCAACGAGTCTGTCTTGGAAGAAGCACCACTGGAAAGCCCTTTAGGCGCAACGGCGGCGAGACTTGGCCTCGTGGACTTTCTTGGACACGTTGTCAGGAGAGTCCCGTGCTTGCTACAGTCCTTGGGGCAGTGAAACAGAGGAAACCCCTGGACAAGACGGATTGACACCGGGGCTCCAAGAATGGGCTCGACCATAAGAACAACTGTGAGCAGGGCACAGGACCTGGTGGTGTTTCGTCTGTTGTCCACAGGGGCGCTAAGTCGGAGCCGACTTGATGGCACCCAATAAAACAGGGACAATGACTTATTCAGGCCCGAGCCTGAGACCCTGAGGATGGGCCCAGGCCTGGGCACTGGGGGGTGCACAGGCTGGTGTGAGCTATACTAAGAGGGTAGTGGCCAAAAAAGGAACAAGGCCAACACTTAAACAGAAAATGCCTCCATCGCGGGAGCAAGCAAGACGAAACGGGCAAACAAACCCTTCGCCTGGAAGACACTGAGAAAAGACCAAGTGTTTGACCAACCGGAGGCAGGAGAGGCCCGGGCCACCTGCGGCCACCAGGGGGCGGTGAATGCTCAAAACTAGCAGCCGCCCTGGAGGTGGCTGCCTGGCCACCAGGTGGGGTGACTGAGGCCCCATCTTACCACTGATGTCCTTCTCCACCCAAGTGAAGGTGATTCCTCCTTCTTTGCTGCTTTCGCTAAATCGTAGCAGGAAGGTGCCTGGGGGCTTGGTGCTCAGGATGGCCCGCTCCCGCTCCTTGCTGATGAAGCCCATTATGTACCTGGAACCAGAGAGGAGCAGCACCTTGAGGCTGCGCTGGCCCTGTCCGGCCAGGAGCAGAGGATGTGCAGGCACAGAAAGCCCTCGACCACACAGAACAGTCAACCTACCCTTCGTTCCAAAGGGCCAGGATGTACTTCTTCACCAGGTCAATTATGTTGTCCAGCCAGACCCAGAAGGAGAAGCCCTTGCCGGCCATATTTTCCTGGGGAAAAAGATGGAAAAGCCAAGTCGGCCACAATGGCTCCTCCCACTCCCCAATTCTCCAGCAGCTCTAGCTAGCTCAGGTTCACCTCCCCGAGGGGGTCCCACTGACCACTGAGACAGGAGCTCCTTCAGGACCAGTGCCCGCCTCACTCCCTCCCTGTCCCAAGAGGGATTTAACGAGATCGCTTACTTTGCAAAACTTAGCCCATGTGATCTGACAGCCTGAGTAGTTGACACCAGGTCCTACACAAGAAAAAAGGAGGAAAAACCATGATTTCCAGCTTTGAGTCAAGATCATCTGAGGACACACATGTATATCCTGTCCTCCTCTGGACCACCAAACCACTGGTCTTCACGTAGCTGAGGGTTGTCACCACTCCCAGCACCATCCCCAGGGCCCCTGGGGTTGTCATTTTGCCCAGCAGACACGGCCAATGAGACATCAAGTCCCCCTGCTCTTCCCAACCTGGGGCGGTGGTCTGGGGAGCAGTGGCCCAGAGGAGAAGCTGGAGGCTGCCGATGGAGTGACCTCTGGAGGCAGCACAGGGCACACCGGTGCACTTACAGTCCGGCTAGTACCTACAGTACTAATATACCACCGCCGCCACCACCCCGCAGGAAAACTTTAAAACCACTTGAACCAGGATCTACTGAAGACTCCAGCGTGAGTGTGCCACGTCTTCAACTTTGCCTGTGGCACTGAATGCCTCCCCTACGTTAGACCAAGTCTGCCAGGGGAGGGCGAGCGAGTACCGCCTCTCCACTTACAAGGATGTGTCCTCCCTAGCTCAGAGCAGATGCTCAATGCCGTCTATACGCGAGGATAAGCCGAGTTTTCCAGCACACGTTTAATGCTGTTTTTGTGGTAAAGCTAGGTGCCCTGGCCGATATTCGGCTCCGCTTATACTCGCGTATATAGGTACTTCCTGACCGCAACGGCCCCCGCCTGGTTCCTTCTCAGGGACAGCAGGTGGGCGAAAGGTAGAGTGCTGACCCAAGAGCTTCTCCGCCAGTGTGGTCAGCTGCTCGATGCTCAGCCCCCGCTTGGTGGTGGAGGAGAACTGCCAGCTCAGCACCTCGGCCACTTGATCCCAGGTCCCGATGGGGGGCTTGGTGAAGAAGTTCACGTTCTAGGCACAAAGAAAAGCCTGCTCGTTCATTCGGAGGAGAGGAGGGTGCTGGAAACGGCCCAGCGTCGGGTTGGGAGCAACCTCAAGGCAGGCGTGAGAGGTCACAAGGGAATTCAGTTGTCAAGGGGATGGGCACAAACCTTGGGGTTGTTGGTCAGCATGTTGTACCACAGGATGGAAGCCCAGGCATTTGGCATCTGGCAAATATTGGAGATGACCACGACGGGCAAGGAGTGGGTCTGCAGGGCAAGTGGAGAGTGAGATGGAGGGGCAGAGCTGGGTCTCACCGTTTTCAACATCTCCTTGGTCTAGCTCACAAGGGGACTATCAGGACATGCCAGAGAGCAGGAGACTGCCAACTCCAGGAGTCAGAGTGTGACGGAGGGGCTGCTGGGAAGATGACCCTCAGGGTGGCAGCTAGCCCCATCAGAGACCTCCGGGACCTGGGTTGGTGTCCCAGCACAATCACCAACTCGCAAACGGACTCACGCAAAGCTTGACCCCGCAGCCGGCCCACTGACACAGCCAGGAACACAGGAAAGTCTGTCTCCCCGGAAACAGAAAAGGCCCAGAAATCAGAGTGGGAGTCCTGCTTTTGTTCAGGTCTATCTTACTGCACGAGTCAAGGAAGTTGGGGAGAGAGATGTACACACCATGCTTCTCTGCAGAGCTGAGTCAAAACATGGGTGATTTTTTATATAGATATACACACACACACATGTAACTTTGCTGAAAATTGATAAAGTGCCCTTCATCAAATTCTTAACACAGATTTTTGCTTAACGTTGAGTGGATGTTTTGGACCTTCTGCCTACTCCTGGCAGGCTTTATTCTCCGATGGGCTGCCGGGCACATTTTGGAGGAAGGTCCAAAGAACACACTGAGGAATCGCTTCTGTCTCCCCTCGTCCCGCTTCCGGACACCCCCACTCCCCACCCCCGGGCTCTGCCCGAGGCTCACCTCCAGGTCGATCTTGAGCCCTTGGTGGTACACCTCCGTCTCAAACGTGATGAGATGCAGCTCCTCGGTGACAATCAGGGAGGCCTGGGGATGCAGGGCAC